GTTCTCCTTGGCTTCCCAGCTGCCCTTGGCATGGCCCTGGCTGCTGGACTGCGCTGTATCCATTCCCAGTATTGTCACAAGCGGACAGAAGTGTCTTTTAGTGAACCAGACAATGATGTCATTACAGTGAGAGAGGGTGGGGAGATGATGCACTTCAGGAAGATACGGGAAAACAGCTTTGTGCTGGTGCAGGCTGAGTACAACTGGATCAGCCCATCAGGCAGTGGAAAAAAGGCGGTTATCTAAAAATACCTGCAAATCCCCATTTTTGAAACAACGCTTTATAGATTAGTGTCATATGTAGGGCAGATGGTAAAAATTATGCCTAACATGAATACTGGAAGCTGTTGTAGAGTAGCTCCTATATATAAGTATTTCAGTAAATATATTCCAACTGAGAAATGATGGAATTATGTGCATGTTCTGATCACAGTACAAATGCATGCAACTTAGTTACAGATGTTATGAAAATTACATGTTCTAAATTACAGATGCTATGAAAATATAAGTAGACGTATTGTTTAAAGTGTTACACTTAACGCAATAAATATTGCATACCTACTCATTAACTGCGCTATTGTAGCCATTACATTTCTTTTGTTGCCTTAAGGGATAATCAGAAATAGAAATTCTTCATTTGCACTTCAGTGTCGTCTCTTATTTATTCTCTGCAAAAGTTTCTAGAGTCTATTATTTCTTCCTTCTTTTAGGAAACCGACAATGCTGCTCTTAACCTCAGTTGTCACTTAAAACTTCATCCATTTTGATTGTGTGCAAGATACTTCTCAAATCAGTAAAATATTTGACACTTAAATTCTAGTTCCTGTTCAAAACCACAAAGAAATGACATGTCAGCTGAGAAAATTGATCTGAAGAAGGCAGAGCCTGGCTGACATTATTGAAGTGATCTGAAGGAATGAAACACACAGCTTTGAGGGAGAAACATGCCTCCTTGCAGGTGTAAATGGAAAGAAAGCCTTTCCTGTCCATTTACACCTGATGAGGACATGTTTTTAAGGCTAACAGCCAGAATTTTTTTTCAAAAGTCAAGTCAGTCAGTGTTGCACAAACACATATTGAGTGTCCTCCTCAGGTCTTCTCAGGGAACCCACGCCAGTAAAGCTCAGGTGACAAATTAACAGCATCTTTGTTCTCTGAACTTTAGCAAGACTTTCCTCTGATTCGGACAGTGCAGCGGCACTTGGGCACTTGGATGGCATTCTGTTCTTAACACATTCAGACTAAGAAGTAGGTAGAACAGCTAAATGAGCAACAGCAAATTATTTTTATAATGACGCTTTGAATAAGCAAACAGCAATAATAACTTGGAAGAACAACATTTTAAAACACGCTAATGTCATTTTGCCAGCAATTGCCCCTTGCTGCTTATGCTTCCAATGCAGAGATGCCCAACTGTTCCCTTACTGAGGCCGTGCTGGCAGCTTATCAGAGATGTATTTAATTTGCATTAGATGAAGCCCATGTACATGGAGGAATATCCTGCAAGGACATCATGTCACAGCATGTTGTGCGCCATCTTAAGTTAAGCAAACCCTGCCAGGCCTTGTATGGGCTACATCTCTTTACTGGAAGATAAGAATATATGTAGGGTTTCACCTAAGATTCAATGGGTCATCCCCAGACTAACTTTACCATCTTATATTTGATGGTGACCATGAGACTGAAGAGGCATGCTAATTTCTAACTTTGGAATAGGGAAATCCGCGGGGGATTTAAATATCCCCCACGGGATTTAAATAAACATGGCCGCCGCTTTTTTTCCGGCTTGGGGAAAAGCAAGTAGAAATAAGAGATCCTCCGGAAAAGGGCTTTTTTCCGGAGGACCGCGTCAGTCTGGACGCTCTTTTCCGGCTTTTCCCCAAGCCGGAAAAAAAGTGGTGGCCATGTTTATTTTAATCCCCCTTATTTAAATCCCCCGCGGATTTCCCTATTCCAAAGTTAGAAATTAGCATGCCTCTTCCGAAGAAGGGGCCAGTCTAGACGTAGCCAAGATGCTCTGACTTGCACATTATATAGCTTCACTTTGCTTTGCACACCATCTTCAACAGTGATGCTTGGGGTGGAAGGAAGGTAATTCCAGCCCAGAAATTGCCTCCAGTACATTGTTTCCCTACTGTTCCTATTCCTGAAATATGGTGAGGATAATGGATTTAGTTTGTTTGCCAAAATATTTTTGTATCGTACTTCTCTATAGAGAAGGAGTTTGCCTTTTACTATACTATGATCAGTGCTGTTTAACCTTGCAGTCCATTTGTGGCCAAATTCTTTTGACACTAATTTCACAGGCACAGTGAACTAGAGAGACAGTGGGTGGAGAAAGGTCTAGCCATGTGGATCTATCTGAATGCTCAAAAGCTTATAAAGGCAAACTTGATAGGCTGAATCATTCTTTATTACAAGGAAACTATTCCAATGCCACATCTGCATCCTTTCACTGAAGAATAAACAAGTCTTGGGAGCAAAATGCTTATTGTGAAATAGTTTTGTTGCAAAATTCAGTAAAAAACTGTTGTTAAACAGCACTCATTGTTAAGTGATTGTCCTTACATTTGCTATTAAGGCCCTACTAAATTCATGGTCCATTTTGGTCAATTTCATCATCGTAGGATTTTTAAAATAATACATTTACGTATTTCAGCTACTTAAATCTGAAATTTCATGGCGACCCAGTGGTAGGGTCCTCACCTTGTGGGGAAGGGACATGCAAGGTTATTGTACGGGGGTTGTAGTACACCCTTACTTCCGTGCTGCTGCTGATGGCAGCCCTGCCTTCAGAGCTGGGTAGCTGGAGAGTGGTAGCTTCTGGCTGGAAGCCCAGCTCTGAAGCTGGATTTCCACCTGTAGAACTGAGCCCTCAGTCAACAGCTGCCACTCTCCAGCTGTCCCGAGCTGAAGGCAGGAGTGCAGAACTAAGGGTGGCATGATATGCTATTACCTGCCTTGCTTCTTTGTTGCTCCTGGGGAAGTACTGCCTTCAGAGCTAGGCGCCTAGTCCAACAGCCACTGCTCTCCAGCTGCCCAGCTCTGAAGACAGCACAGAAGTAATCTTGCTGCTTCACTGCAATCGCTTTTGGGTTAGGATCCCCAATATGAGAAATGTTGGCTTCCCCTGTGACATCTGTTTACTATAGGGTAAAAGCACACACACAAAAAAAATCATTCATGGCAGGAGACCATGGTCCATGATACATTTTTCATGGCCATGAATTTATATAGGGTTCTATTCATTGTTAGATAAGCAGGACACTTAAGTATTATTTATTAAGATGTTTATAGACTTACAAGGGGAAAAAGTTCATTCATCCCACATGGAAAATATTTTTTTCTGGTACTTCCAGCCAAGGTGCTTCTGTCCTATGTCATCCTTTCTTTAAAAAATAGTTACAAGTTTATACAATCTGATATAGGTGAACTGTAATTTCTAAAGCAGATTGTAGTCTAGTCATTGTTAATGCATCCAAAAAAGTCCTAATTAACTGAGAAAATAGGTCAACAAGCTAGTAAATATTTAAACAACTATCACATTTTATTTTAAAAGTTTCCTATGATGGCTTAGCAGTGTATGAATAAATTACAAATGCTTATGTCTTCTCTCACCATTTCTCTGTCTGTCCATGTTTAACAGTATCAGATGGTTATAGCTTAGGAAGCTTATTTCTCCCACACCCACTTTTATTAGGTTCACTGGCAGAAGCCAAGGACACCAGCATTCAGAAAGATTTGGTTAGTGTATTGGGATTTGCTGGAGACCTGGGCCAAATCCTACTTTGTTACATTCAAAGCAAGCCATTTTTTTATTTGTAGTAATATTTTCATTGTCAGACCCCTAGTCATGGATCATGATCCCACTATATTAGGCATTTACGAACTCAGAACTTAGAACAAAAAAATGACCCTTGTCCCACAGAGTTGACAATCCAGTTGTTACCTCACCCACTGGTCATCCATCGCAGTGGTTGGTGGTGAGATGCGGACATCATGAGCTCAGTTAAAGCGATGCTGGAAATCACTAATGGGAATGTGAGGATGTTGCTGGACTGCTCAAGAACCTATTGTGCTTCTGAGTGAGGTTTCTTTTGCTGTGACAAAGGGTGGTAGTATGGTTGTTAATCACTAACTCTGTCACTTAGTCAATTTATTCCCCTTCCCCAAGAAACTACTGATATTAACATGGAGATGGTAAAAAACTTAACTGTATGGCTTTGACTTTTACTGTAGGATTCCAATGCTTAAACCCGAAGTTGGCAGAAGTGATTGGTAGTTTGCTTTAGGCTGGCATGGTGGAGCAAAATGTTGGAGTTTTACATCAGGATCATTGGTAGAGCAACAAGGAGCAGGCACTCAGCTCTTATAAGTATCCATTCTAAGTTGTAGTGCTGGGCAGTAGAACAAAAGCACAAACATGATTCCTGTGCCGCCTCTGTCTGTTCCCTCAATAATCTCTGACCTTGTCCTCCATTTAAACATTACAAAAATTAACAAAAAGCTATTTTGCACTAACCTCAGTGCAGATATACCCATTCTTCTCCTCGCCAGCTTACAATAAAAGTCTCTTTTCTGACACCCCCTTCCTATGCCATCCTTCCTTCCCACACAAAACTACTGCTGCTCAGATCACCACCTTTGCATAGTGATCAGACTATTTGTGAATCCTTTCAGTGACTCAGTCTCTTCCAGTGTTACTAGCTAGCTCCCACTGCTTCCCTTCAAGGCTGCATAATTCTGCCCCTATTTATTTGACACTGGATCTTCATGTTATGCCACCTCTGCTCCACTGGGAGGGAGGAGGGGGAGACTCCTCAGCATTCACAGAATTCTTAGTTGCCTTATTGGGTCAGCTTTACTACTGTAGTACAGCAGCAGTTCCCAAACTGTTGGTCTGCAGACTGGTGCTGGGCTGCAAACCCCTGGCTGCAGGGGCTTTGGGGGCCGGGGTTGGGGGGGCCTAGCACCTCCTCTCCTGCTGCGACTGTTGGGCGAGGTGTGTCCTGCCCCACCTCTCAGCCAGCCAGCTGAGTAGCTGGAGAGTGGTAGCTTCTGGCTGGAAGCCCAGCCCTGAAGGCTGGGCTTCCATCTGTAGAGCTGAGCCCTCAGTCAGCAGCTGCCACTCTCCAGCTGCCCCATCTGAAGGCAGCAGTGCAGGACCTTAGAGGCAAAAAAAAAAAAAAAAAGTCACACTCTGAAGGCTAACGTATTAATATGTTCATGCCATGCAAGTCCAGGGGGTAGAAGAATATGTGGGCTGAGAAATCTGGGAGGTGTGGTTTCCTCCCCTCTTATGTTCCTGCCTGTCTGCCTAATGCCCAGTTCAGCTACTTGGTCTGGGTGTTGTGCTGAAGAGTTGCCTTTATTTTGAGGAACAATTTAAAAAAGCCATGCAATGCACTTTAGGTAGCCTAATACTTCTTTAGATCTACAATCACAACTGATCACCCAACCTCAACACCTAACTGCATACAAATAAAGTAACCCAACCTGCCAATAAACTAAAGCAGCAAAACAAAACCTTCAGTCCAACCCCTAAAGAACAGACCCTCAACCTTGCCCTCAAGCCCTGTCAGCTAAATGGCTTTTGTGATAAGTTAGCAGTTAGGGGCTGTTGATGAGTAAAGAACTATATTAGATCTATTTGCAGCCCCTTTTCCTTAACCCCCTCTCTGAGGTGCCATGCGGAGAAGTTTTGTCACGCAGCACCTGAGAAGCACTTACTAGTCTTGCGTCCTCTATATAGTTGGGGGGGGGGGGG